GTCAAATCACCTGCTCAGGTCCCTCAGGAGTGGCAGATGTCCCCTCCCCCTGTCCAGAACCTTCTCCCCCACACAGTGGTAGCAGCTGCAGAGGCCTGTGACCGACCCTGGCCCCAAGCAGAGGTTACGCCCTGGGTTCTGGGGAAGGAGAGAGGCAGGGAAGCCTGAGGTGGGAGGGGGTGCAGAGAGGAGGGTGGAGCTGAGTCCTTGATGTGGTGGCTGGGCCCATTCGGGGTTGTCACCACAGTCCTAGGGCTTGGCTGGGACAGCAACCGCCACTTCCGCTGGTGTGGTAATGCCGGGCGGATCTGGAAACCCACGCCAGGCAGGGCTGGGGAAGGGAGGTGCTCTGCCCGGCCTGGTCTGTGGCTCCTTGTCGAGGTGGGGTCCGCTCCTACCCTGCCTGATCCCCATCACCCGGCCCAGCTCCGAGACCCCCGCTTCCCCCTGCTGGAGTGCGTTAGCCGGAAATAATTTCCAAAAGATGACAATGGGCCAGGAACAGCTGGAGGGGACTGGGAAGCATCTCTTCAGGGCCTTTAAAGGCTTGGTCAGGGGCGCCTGGGTGGCTTAGTCGGTTGAGCGTCCGACTTTCGCTTAGGTCATGATCTCGCGGTTCGTGGGTTCGAGCCCCGCGTCGGGCTCTGTGCTGACTGCCAGCTCAGAGCCTGGAGCCTGTTTCAGAGTCTGTGTCTCCCTCTCTCTCTGACCCTCCCCTGCTCACGAGCGCGCGCGCTCTCTCTCTCTCTCCTAGTGAAGGAAAAAAAAAAAGGCTTCATCGCATCATGGGGATTGCCTGTAACCAGAAGGTTGGGTAAGAGGAGGCTTTGGGAGTGAAGCAAGGCCAGACGCCTCACCGACAGACAAGTAATCTGCTCCACACAGGCTCGGACTTGAAGGTGGGAGGGTCTGTCCACAGGCCTAGGGGGGCAACTTGCAGCAGGACCAGAAGGAAGTAGGGCAGGATTGGTGACATGCTTGGCAGGGCCCAGTGCAGCATGAAAGTCCCCGCTTCTCATCCAAAAACTATTAAGAATGTCAAGCGGGTGGCAGCAGAGCATTAGGCCAAGCTGGGCGACCCTTAGACGCCCAGGTCACATGCCTATGAAGCTGCCCTGAAGTGGGCTCTAGGGAAAGCAAGCCAAGGATGGGGCCACAGGAGAGGCAGCCACAGGGGTCTTCTTCCGGCCCAAATGGCCTCCTGACCAAAACAGAGAGAAGCTGCAAACACATAGGTGAATAGGTCTGGGGCCGCCGTCAACATTTCCTAGACGGACAGCATGCTGGGCTGGGGCACGTGCGGCTCTCCCGAGTAGCCGGTCCACCTCGGCCAACCAGCATCCTCAGAGGGATCAGGTCTTGCCTTATTTGGAGGAGGGAGGACATTCAACTTGCACCTTGGTCTTGGGGGAGTTGAAGTGCTGGGAAAAGATGCCACGCTCAGAGCCCATCTGGGAGAAAGGTGTCTGGAGCTATTCCTTTCATTTATGGAACTAACAACCAAGGATGGGGAGTACAAAGGATGATGGCCCAGAAAAAGAGTCAAAATATGAATAACAGGCTTGGCGGGCACTGTCCTCCGGTCCCCCGCCCCGGGGTTCATGTGGCCAGGAAGCCTGATGTCTGTTTCAGCGGTGGGATCGGGACCAGCTTTCAGAGCAACATAAGCCAGGGGTAATTTTTAGCACAGACGTAACTTTCTAGTTCCCTTTTCTCTACCCCTTTTTTCAGTTGCCTTTAAAGAGGCCGCAGAGAGCTGAAAAACAAATCCAAGTTTAAAGAAACAAGTGCAAAAATGCAAACCGGGCAAGGGGACAGGGCCACCAGCTGGACAAAATGTGCCTGGAAAATAGCATCCTCTGCTTGGCAGGTGCTGGGAATTTATGGTTGGGTTTTGCAGACTTTCACCACGTTACGAGCCAGCTCAGGAGACCCTCATAAAACCCTGCTTATATGAAAGAACAAACTAGCTGATAAAAGTCAGCTGCTGCCTATAAACACGCTGTGGGGATTGCAATTGAGTGCTGGATTTATTAGTCTGGGCTCTCTGTGCAAGCGAAGGACTCCTGCGCCCCACTGCATCAGATGGCTTGCTCTCTGCTCACATGATGCCGAGCGGCCATGCTCACCCCTCCCCCGTTACCTTCCCCATTAGAGACAGGAGGGAGGGAAGATTCTCGCTGAGAGTGGGTGGCTGGGGATCTACTCTTACACCCCGCCGAAAGAAGCAGTCACTCTCCATCCACGGCACTCTCCACACATTCTTTGTGACAACGGTTCTAACATGGGGCTTACGTATCTGCCTGGCTTGTCGGACCACGTACTTCTCTTATTTATCTTTGCATCCTCGGCAGTTGGTTCTGTGCGGGGCACGCAGGGAGGCCTCTGAAGGAATGAATATGGATCTGGCAGACCGTAAGGTGCCCGATGCAGAAGTTACTCCTAGCCCTCTCCAAGCAGGCAAAGGGGTTGGGCGAAAAGCACTGAGGTGCCCATAGGGATGGAGGTCTGCATAGCTGCTACGAAGCCACCAGAAGGGAAGAAGAGGTGCGATTACCAGGTGATCAAGGTTAGGTTCTTCCCCAGAGAGGCGCAATCTTTGTGGCTACACTATCCAGCTCTCTCGAGCGCTGCTGCTTTGTCTTAGGATTAAGATCATCTTTGCTTTTTTCTTTCCCTTTCTCTCTCTTTTTTAAATGTTTATTTACTTATTTTGAGAGGGAGAGAGAGAATCCCAAGTAGGCTGTGTTGTCAGCGCAAAGCCTACCACCGGACTCCATCGCACAAACTGTGACTGTGACCTGAGCCGAAAACAAGAGTCAGATGCTTAACCAACTGAGTCTTTCTTTAATAAGATTTTTTTTTTTTTAAATTTTTGAGAGAGACAGAGTATGAGCGGGAAAGGGGTAGAGAGAGAGGGAGACACAGAATCTGAAGTGGGCTCTAGGCTCCAATCTGTCAGCACTTGGCCCGACATGGGGCTCAAACCCACCAACTGTGAGATCACGACCTGAGCTGAAGTTGGCTGCTTAACCGACAGAGGCACCCAAGCACCCCGTCTCCTTTTTTTAAAGAAAATTTTTTGACATTTATTCATTTTTGATAGAGTGCGAGCTGGGGAGCTGCAGAGAGCGAGGGAGACACAGAATCTGAAGCAAGCTCCAGGCTCCGAGTGTCAGCACAGGGCCTGACACAGTTTGAACTCATGAACTGCGAGATCATGACCTGAGCCAAAGTCGGCCGCTTAACCGACGGAAAGAATCCTAAATTCTGCATTTCACCCCAACAGACGGTCTTATCGACAAGGAAGGGGTTCTGACCCCCAGGAGTCTATTTCCCCAACTGAAGGAAACAAAAAAGAGCTCCCATCTAGTATCTCAACCCCTATGCTATGATGCTTAAAGAGGGGTCACTGGAAGTGCTCCTGCTGTGATGAGTCTCCTTTGTTTAGAAGTTAAGTAGGAGTCCAGTAAAGATACCAACATTGTTCTTTATTGGGGGTGAGTCAGTGGGGTGGGATTAGCTGGTCGAAAAATCCCAGGGAAAACAGGCATAATAAACAGGGACGGGAGTACAGGAAGGTGGCAGGAGCCCGCAAGACACTAAGGCTTTGAAAACAACCTAAATGTCCCTCAGCAAGGGGCTGCTTAAAGAAACTATGGTATGCCCAAACAGCAGAAAAATACACAACTGTTCTAGAACAAATTAAGGAAGCTCTTTATGTATTCACATAGAATGATCTTGAAGATACAGTAATGGGGGGAAGGTGCAAAGCTGAGTATATAGTAGGCTACTGTTGTACAAAATTTGGGTGAAAACCCAAAAACCCACTTCTTGTCGTACTAGTTATCTATTGTTACGGGACACATTACCCCAAGACTTAATGATTTAAAACGAACATTTATGTTTCCATGGGTCAGGAATCCGGCCACAGCTCCGCTGGTTTCCTTTGTCTTACGTCCTCATGAAGTTGTAGTGGAGCTGTTAGCTGAAGCTGTGGTCTCCACTGAAGGCTCCAGTCCTCGGGGTGAGGGGGGCAGGGGTGTCGTCTGCTTCTAAGCTCAGGCACGTGATCGTTGGCAGGCACTGGCATCTCACACGACCTCCTCACAGGGCCCACCTGGAGCACCTCAGCTGACGTCTCCCAGTGTGAGGGATCCGAGAGCGAGCAACGGACCCGAGATAGAAGCTGGTCTTCTCTCAACAACTAGTTTCAGAAGTAACACCCCACCACTCCCGTAGAATCTAGGGCGCTGGCCCCCCCAGACCTATGAAATCAGAATCTAAATTTTAACAAGAGCCCAGTGGCTTCTATACACATGAAAGCTTGAGAAACACTGGCTTAAATCTTTCCCTGGTTGAACCATAAACCCTCTGGAGATCTCTTTCACCTGCCTCCAGGGCTAGCACATCATAAGACCTGACACCCAAACGTCTTTTAAGTTTGATTGATGGTTATTAACATATGTGATGGATTTTTTAAATTCCTGGAAGAACACCTACCACATTGTTAAAAACAGTAGACAGTGTGCATTTTCACTTTCTGTAATACTTCGATTTTCTACAATGAGAATGTTTAATTTTTATAGGTAGAAATACATCAAGATTTGGAAAAATAAAAGATACAATACATTCATAGAATAGTATAGGAGGTATATAATGATCTATGTGGTAATTGTGTTGAGCTACTATTACAGATATAAAAATGAAAAGATGGCTAAACGATGTTTTTTTTCAAGTTTATCTAGGGATACCTGGGTGGCTCAGGCAGCTGAGCATCTGACTTTTCAGCTCAGGTCATGATCACACTCTCCATGAGTCTGAGCCCAGTGTCAGGATCTGTGCTGACAGGCTGGAGCCTGGAGCTTGCTTCAGATTCTGTGTCTCCCTCTCTCTCTGCCCCTCCCCAGCTCATGCCCTGTCTCTCTCTCAAAAACAAACATTAAAAATTAAAAGAAAAAGTTTATCTAAAAAAATAATTAAAAATAAAACTTTATTGAAGTAACAGCATATGTCAATGATGCCACATTTTATTTTTAATTTGAGAATACGGACACTGAAAGAGCATATATCAAAATATCTCTGATGAAGCTTGTGTTTCATACTTTTCTACACTTAAACTTTTTTCCCACAATTTTCCTGATTTTTTTTTAAAAAGCATATAGATCACTTTTGTAATAATAAAAAAAAGTCCTCTTCATTTTAAAAATATCTATACCTTTTATTAAGCCTCTTTACAGCCAGTGACCCAGATTTTTCCACAGCCTAGGAAGCTGACAGGTCTGGAAGTACCCAACCATTTGACAGGGGAAGGCACTGAGCTTCAGAAACTAACGCTGATGGCCTGATTCTGGGCCCTCTTCTCCCACCATGCAGCTACCCCAAGGTCAGAGGGATGTGGTGAAGCGGGTGCCAGCTTTGGTCAAAAAAATCCAAAACACAAAACCCCGTCATTTTAGCCATCTTAATATGCCCAGTTACTGAATTCTCAGACAGACAGTGGGGGAACAGAGGAGCACCATCAGACAAAGCACGGAGATGAATTCGTGCTGCGCCACCTCCCCCTGGCGGCGGACTCTGGGAACTGAATGACGATGATAACGATGAGGAGCTACAGCAGCTGGGGAACAATGACACACAGACTGCTCTGACTCCGGCTTTCTCAAACTTTACGATGGTGCAAAAGCAATACGTGTCCACTGGAAACCGTACTTCAGATTTTGAACTTGGATCTTTTCCTGGGCTGCCAACATGCGGTGCAATCCTCTCTTGTGACGCCGGGCAGCAGCGGCAGTGAGCCCCAAGATCACAAGGGTAAACAACTGATTCAGCTACTCTGTGCCCATACAACCCTTCTGTTTTGCAATCAGTTACACGAGATATTCAATACTTTATGGTAAAGTAGGCTTGGCATTAGATGACTTTGCCCAACTGTAGGCTAATGTAAGTGTTCAGGGTACATTTAAGGCAGGTTATGCTCAGCTGTGACGTTTGGTAGGTTAGGTGTGTTAAATACATTTTCGACTCATGATGCTTTCAACTTACGTGATGACATTAACAAGATGTAACCCCGTTATAAGTCGAGGAAGATCTGTACTGTCTTGCATCAATATCACCCTTCTTTCTTTAAATCATCAAGAAGAATCATCTTCCGTCAGGGAATCAGGTACTGATTCAAATACACATAACAGGGCCGGGTGTCAACCACGCTCAGAGCTGTGGATGATGCTGAGGCCGATGCCACTCTCTCCCCCGTCCTTTCCTTCCCTCCCACGTCTGCGGTTGTGGCTCCTGACCCCGACGTTCTCCTGTACCACCTTTCCTGCGTTCTCTCTGCTTCCATCCACCCCCGAGCCTAGGAAAGAGCAAGCGGTGGCCCACGTACCTTCAGCCGTGACGTAGCAGGGGGAGGCCGCGACATTAGAAACACAGTCCTCCTGAGGGCCAGTCCTCAGGCCCTAGGCGCTAAACGTTCAAGCGTGTCAGGTTACAATGCTGCCAATTCTTCAGAAACACCACAATGCACCAGTGTCGCTCTTCAACTGTGTCCCACTAGTTTGCTGATGAACACACCGCTTCCTTACTCTTCTAGGAAGAAGGAAACATTCAGTAGGGTATCTGGAATAGGAAGAGAGAAAAACCGTGGCATATCACCTCTCCAGGGAACGGAAAACATCAGATCTATAAAAAACGCGGAGACACTGCAAGGGCATCTCCGTGATGCTTCCAAAGGAGTGAGACACAGAGAAAGAAAGCAGATGTGAAGGAATAAACGAAAACCAGCTACCTCGTACAAGGTTTTGGTGTTCGTCTTCTGAAATCCGGTCCCAGGCCCTGGGCAAAGCTTGGATGCTTGCCAAGTCTCCCCACTGGATGGAGGACAAGAGGTACTTTCTCTTCAGGTAACTTCCTGGAAGTTAAGGGCTGCTTAAAAAGACGATGAAATGTGCTGAAGGGGACAACACCCTGGGGAGAGCTATGAGACGCCGGACAAGTAAGAAGGCGGCCACCTCTCCACACACCAGGGGGTCGCGCTCACCTATGCCGCACACGTTACTGAGCACGTCCCCCCTCACAATGCTATGGGGCCAGCCGGATGACACAGCACTCAGACCACCTAGGATCTCGCCACAGTGGGCAAAAAAACAGATACTAGACAGGGAGGCCCTCAGGGACACAAAAGAGGAAAGTCCGTGGTGGTTCAGAGGACGAGTCCCTCCCATCTGGAGAGCCGCAAGAAGATTCCAGCTGGCGGGAGAAGCATAAGGCGCAGAAGTGGGGGAAGCGTGGACTGGTTTCGGGGCCTAGCAAATCCTCCAATCTGGCTGCATGGAACATCCCAGTAGTCAGACTGGTGGCTGAGAAGGCAGGTTGAGCCGGAACACAAAGAGCACCGAAGAGCAACAAGGGAACAGATCCAAAGCACCTGAAAGCAGCCGTGTGGACGCCGTGAGAAGAGCACCTGGCACAGAGTCAGCGCTCAGGAACACTGGCTGCGGCCGCTGCTCCCCTGCGCAGGCTCTCCCCTGCCTCCACGGCCGCAGCGGCCACCAATGCAAGGGAAAAGGAAAGCGAGAGGGAGAGGGGCTGCTGGAGCCTCCACACAATGGTCACACAGGGCTGATCCGACAGCTAGAGGGAAAAGGGACTGAGTGCAATGGCTGGACCTGTGTGCCCAGGAGCCCCCTGGCTGGAGGCAGCTGCAGGAAACTGAACATCAAGGCTAAAACAAGACTAAAGGGTGGGTTGGGGAGTTACTCAAATGAAGGCAGAAACTGAAGCCAGAGGGTAGATGCACGATTCGGGCAAGAATTATGAGGGGCGCCTGGCTGGCTCAGTCAGTCAAGCGGCTGACTTCAGCTCAGGTCATGATCTCACAGTTCCTGAGTTCAAGCCCTGTGCTGGGCTCTGTGCTGACAGCTCAGAGCCTGGAGCTTGCTTCGGATTCTGTGTCTCCCTCTCTTTCTGCCCCTTCCCTGCTCACACTCTTTCTCTGTCTCTCTCCCAAAAATAAGCAAAAAAATTGAGAGAAAGGAGCCAGACCTCCAAAGGACTGGCCCTAGCTCCCCTGGGTCCGCACCGCCCCATGTCTTTCCTCCAAACTGAGCCAGGGCGATACAGCCTGAAAAACACAGGCTGATTATGTTACTCTTCCTCTCAAAACCTTCTAATAGCTTTCCACCTCACTCAGAGTGAAAGCCGAAATCCTTTCAAAGACCTCCCAGGCCCTGTGAGGCCCAGCCAGCCTCTCTGACCGTGTCTCCTGTTAGGCTCCCCGCCCTCATCTGCTCTCACCCTACTGGCTTCCGCGCTATTTCCTGAACATGTCAGGCACGCTCTCCCCTCAGGGCCTTTGCACATGCTGTTTCTTCTACCTGGGACACGCTTCCCCCAAATACCACATGGTTCTCTCCTTCGCCCTCTTTAGGTATTTTTTCACACGTCACTATCCCAAGGAGCCCTCTCCTGCCCACCCTACGTCAAGTCATGACACCACGCTCACCCCCCACTTCCCCTGCTTTATTTTTCTCTAAGTTCAGAGACCACAGAGAACTGAGCCATATTACATAGTTGTATAATCTCACGAAGCGCGAAATTAAAGGCTTCCTGTAGCGGCTCCAGACGCTGCCTCAAACACGTGCAAAGGATACGAATTTCGATAATGTCTCTCAATGTCCTGCAGCCATTCCAACATGTCGGCCACAGAAGGGCTCACGGCAGAGGCCTGAAGGACGCCGCCAATGCCAACCGCATCTGCACGCTGCTCATAGACCTGAAGCACTCGCTCCACATGGCTGCTGACAGTGTCACGCACCTTGAGCAGGGCAGTTCTGGGGGGAAAAGGTCTCATATTAAGCAATATGATGAGGAAGGCCTAAGGCAGCGTTCCTCAACCTCAGCACACTCACATTTCTGCCTGGATGGTTCTTTGTGGTGGGGGGTTGGTCTGTGTATTTTAGGACGTTCAGCAGTACCCTTGGCCTGTACCCCCAAGATGACAGGAGCAGGCCATGTCCATCCCCACCCCCCAGCTGTGATGATCAATAATGTCCCCAGATATTGCCAAAATCCCAATGGGAAAAACTGCTCTGGATGGACACAGACTACTGGGGATCTTAGGAAAGTACTTATTCTCAGTCATGTATAAAAATGGTCTGTTTTGGTGCACCTGGGCGGCTCAGTCAGTTGAGTATCCGATTTCAGCTCAGGTCATGATCTCGTAGTCCATGGGTTCGAGCCCCGTGTCGGGCTCTGCGCTGACAGCTCAGAGTCTGGAGCCTGCTTCAGATCCTGTGTCTCCCTCTCTCTCTGCCCCTCCCTCACTCATGCTCTGTCTGTTTCTCAATAATAAATAAATGTTAAAGAAAAAAAAAGGTCTGTGTTGCTCATACCCTAAATACCTAGAACACTGGCACACAAAATGACAAACACTTATTCAATGAATGCAGGAGTGGAATGGGTTCTTGCAAAGATTAAATGCAATAATGCACCTAAGGTGCTTAGGCAAGTGCCCACCTCGTGGTAAATATTTTTATCATTCCATTGGAGACTCTAAGGGAGCCAGCCACCTAAAAGAGGGCTATAACTTCCCAAAGGGCAAAGAATTCCCTAATCTAGAACCGGGGCTTTCAAAAATGTGTGGCCTTGACTCATAATTAAAAAGCGGACTTAAAATAACTGCCCAATACTCACACACAAAATATGTCAAGAACTGAAATAAAAGTTCACTACCTCAGAATATACCACAACATAATTTAACGGACTTATGGTCTATCTCTTCTAATCAACTAAGAAACTAAGTCTGGTTCATTGCTGTATTCAGAGCACCTTGCACTTGGCATCCCATAGAGGCTTCATGGATATTGTACAATGAATACAAAGAAGGTCCTCAGCTTTGACCACTTCCTAATAGTCTATGGCACAGATCGTATATACTAGAACCTGCTCTTGTTCTAGTCAAGGAAAGGCCTATGTGCTCTGCCTCTTGTCTATCCTCAATACGTATGACTCGTAGAGGGTCTCCCGTTTGGCCCACTAAGAGTACAGAGATGTCCTATGCCTGGAAAACAGACATCAACATACAGCAGAACAGAGTGGCGGCTAAGCGGTCTGACCTTGGTGTCAGGTGAACTTGAGTTAGAATCCCAGCTTTACATTTACCAGTTGTGCGACCACAAGCAATCTGATCAGCCTCAGTTTCCTCACCAGCAAAATGGGATTAAGGGAGGTGAAGTCAGAGAAGCTGGAAAGATTTTATGAGATGATATTAGTGTAAAACCTTTGGCTCTTGCCCCTATTAAATTTAAAGTACAATTCTTCACTGCTTTTTACAAAAGAAAGCTATAGAGGCCTTTATAGAAGGCTAATAAGCTTTCTCCATTGCTTTTCTCTTCTGCTCTTGTAACTTCTACTAAGCCCACCGCTGCCACGCGTTACCATGGAAATGACATAAAATGACTGACTGAAAAGAGATCCCATTACAACGAATGGGATGGAAGGTTGGAAGGAGGGCAAGGTTGAACAAAGGAGGGAAGGTTGAGACACCTCCAAATACCATGCTCTCGAGTAAGGGGGGGAAACCCTCTTCTGACAGATATGAGCTACTTATGAAACACGCGGGTTGTCCATCTTTCCGCCAAGAAGGAGCGCCATTGAACTCTTACAGCCTCTCCTGTAGCTTGTCCAAGACAGTGTCGCCGGCCAACAGCTGCTTGCGCCTCAGCCGCTCCTGTAAGTCTGGGAAGGCCCGAAGTGGTGGCACGTCCTCAAACCGCAGGTTCCCGGCCGCCTGCAGCTGCTCTGCCAGGTTGCTGAGGGACAGCAGGAGGGGCCGGCAGTCCCCGAGCGCGCTCTGCCACAGGCCCTGCTGCTCCTCCACCACCGGGAAGCACCGCTTCAGAGCCTCCTGCACCGCAAGCAAAGGCTGGTCTTGAGTCATCTTCTGCCGAGAACCGAAAGAGAAAGAAAAGAGAAAACCAAACCCGCATCAGGGCCTCAAGTCGGCGGCGGAAGTATCCGGTCCAGGAGTGATTCTCGTGTGTAAGGGGGGTCCAGCTAAGCCAAGGTCTCCTCGCGGAGGGCTGTCCATCCCTTCCTACAGGATGTACTGGCGCGAGGCGCTCTTACCTTCAGAGGGGCTTGCGGAGGCCAGGCCCTTGTTTCCCACCTCCGGAAGGGTGGTCTCACTACCTCTCGGAGGTTCGTCCGCGTCTAGGGCAGTCTCCGCGGTTTCAGGCTGCGGATTCCGCGGGCCGAAGGGCTGTCTCCAAACCCGTGTTTCCGGAGCCGGAATCTAGTCTCCTTTCCTTGAAGCTGCCTGTCGCTTTCCCTAAACGAGCAGGAAAACTGAAAGCTAACACCATCAAAGTTTGAGGACCCGCCAGGGCAGCCACCAGGGTCCCGCGGTCTCTCTGCGCATGCCCCAGCGCGGCTGCGGAGTCGCGAACCTATGGCGTAAGACCGCAGTGCCTTCTGGGTGTTGTAGTCCTACGTGTGGACGGGCGGCCTGGTCGCGGAGCTGCCTTGTGATTGGATGTTGTGGGACCCATTTAAGACGGCGGCTTCTCATTCGTCAGCCCGTGGCAGTTTGAATTTGGTGGCGGCGGTCGCGCACGTCCGGTTAGCCACGGAGCCGCTCCTTCCCCTCAGCTGCGGCAGCGAGGTTTTTCCCAGCCCGTTTCGCGACCCTCAGGTACGTGCCTCGCGACTCCTTTACGCTCGGGCCTCCAAGGGCAGGGCCCCCTACCAGCCCCATGGGGCGCCCTTCCTCCTTCCCCTGTCCCCCCGCGGCCCCTTACTCTCTCTCCGCTATCTCGGCCTCTGACCCCCTGCGTCCCCCCTTCCCGCAGCCTCCACCCGAGCGCCATGGCTCCGGCTAGGAAGGGCGGCAGTCGGGTCGCCAAGACCAACTCGTTACGGAGCCGGAAGCTCGCCTCCTTTCTTAGGGACTTCGACCGTGAAGGTAAGGGGCGGGGCCCGGGTGGTCGCCGCCACCCCGGGGCGATCGCGGGGGCCCGGCGGGTGTGGGGTGCGGGCAGCAGGGGTTCCGGGCTGAGTCCACCCGCCGGTGACCCGTGTTCTGTCGGCTCTGCCCTCTCCCAGTGCAGATACGATCCAAACAAATTCAGTCAGACCGGCAGAACCTCCTCAAGGAGATGGATAACCTGTACAACATCGAGATCCTGCGGCTCCCCAGGGTGCTGCGCGAGATGAACTGGCTCGACTACTTTGGTGAGAGCTGCTGGTGTCCCCAGACCTCGGCCCGGGGCGCCTCTGCGGTCACCCGGGTGAGGTCTTCCCTGATCGCTTTAGGAAATTGCAGTCCTACCACTCCCCACCCCACCCGCACCCCCATCTCCCCTCCCTGCTCTATTTCCTAAGTAGTAATTAACATCATCGACCCCAGCAGGTAGGCGGACGTCCTCCCTATGGCATCGGATACTAAATATTTTAGGCTTCCTAGGCCAGAGGGTTCTCTATTGCAGCTACTCCACTCAAGCTGTTACAGTTCCTGAACAGCTGTAAGGAATGGGCATATATGTTGCAGGGCACCCTGAAATGTGAATTTTGCACGTATTTCATGTGTCACAGAACACTCTCTTTTCTAAAATGTTTTATCCAGTCTTCTAAACATGAATAAATGAATACTTTGGTTTGTTACCACATCTCCGAGGGGGAGGATAACCCCAAGCAGTGCATTCCGTAGCTTGCAGAAATTGTCAATTTAAAACATGAGCAAATCAAATTGTGAAGTGCACGCACTAGTGTTTTTCTGCCCAGAGAAAAGTCGCAGCCTGTTCACTCCCTTATTAAATGTCCAAGGAAATGCAAGAGGCTGCCCTTTCTGCTGGGACACCCTCATTTTTCTTATTTTCCTTCTTATCACTCATTGTATAGCCTCCTTCGTGACTAGAAATGCATGTTCTGTTCAAATAGACACTTAATGATCCTTTGACTTGCCCTTTTATTCGTTTGCACGTGTCTGTAAATATTCACAGAGCACGTCTCGGGCACAACACTGGGTGCTGAAAATGCTTTGGGAAATAAAACAGACTTTGTCTCTACCTTCAGGAGCTTACAAGTTAGCAGAGGAAGATCATTTTTTAAAATGCATATGTGCCGGGCGCCTGAGTCGCTCAGTTGGTTAAGCATCCAACTTCAGCTCCTGTCATGATCTCATGGTTTGGGGGTTCAGGCCCCCATCCGGCTCTGTGCTAACAGCTCAGAGCCTGAAGCCTGCTTCGGATTCAGTGTCTCCCTCTCTGCCCCTCCCCTGCTCACACTCTGTCTCTCAACAATAAATAAATGTTAAAAATAAGTTTTTTTAAATAAATAACATTAAAAAATAAAATGCACATGTGATTATATAATGAAAATTATAAGTACCACAAAAGAGATATAGTGGTCATTAGGCACATTTAGAGAGTGATTCCTGTGCAGACAGGCATTGTACTGAATGTATTACATGTGTTAACCAATTTTATCTTCATAACAAATGTATTAATTGTTAATATTGCCCATGTTTTATTGATGACAAAATTAAGGCGCAGAAATGTTGTTTACTCTGCTCCAGGGCTCATAAGCTAGTTAGTAGCAGAGTGTAGTTAAAGCCAGGCATTCTGGTTCAAAGCCTGAATTCTTTTTTTTTCCTGTTAAAAAAAGGTTAATGTTTATTCAGTTTTCTGAAAGAGAGAGAGAAAGACAGAGCGTGAGCAGGGGAGGGACAGAGAGAGAGGGAGACACAGAATCTGAAGCAGGCTCCAGGCTCTGAGCTAGCTGTCAGCACAGAGCCCGACACGGGGCTTGAACTCCCAAATCGCGAGATCATGACCTGAGCTGAAGTCCGGACGCTTAACCAACCGAGCCACACAGGGGCCCCAGGCGCCTCCAAAGCTTGCATTCTTAACAGTTATATAGGACCCTATGAAAGTTTGAGAAGGAGGATTACTTTATTCTACATCTAAATCTTGCACAAACCTCTTCATTCAACATACATTGGCTGCATACTTACTCTATACCATATTTTTGCCAGAAACTGTCTTCAAGGAATTCAGTTCAAGGCAGGGTGGACACTTAAACAGCTCTGAGTAGTCGTTGGGTATGATGAGAATGAGCAACTAGCTCAGCACTTTGCAGCAATCTGTTGTGATAGAAAAATAGACAGAGTTTTGGATTTGAACTGAGTTTTGACAGATGAATTAGAAATGTATCCGGCGCAGCAGAGTATTTCTGGTAGAGGAAATAGTACCAAGGCCTTGAGTCAGGAGAGGCAGAGGCACATTTGGGAAATAAGGACTTTGGTGTGGCGGAACCTGGAATATGTTAGACAGGGGGCCAGTCTAAGGTGGAGAAAAAATTAGACTAGATTGTGGATGTCCTTGACTGTTAAACCAAGGGCTTTTAATCTGGCCCGGTTTTAAACAGATAACTGGGTATATCAGGGAAGATGGTTTATCATTCAAATCTGACAGTAACTAAATAAATTGTTCTTTTTAAAGCCCTTGGAGGAAACAAACAGGCCTTGGAAGAGGCAGCAACGGTAAGTAACCTGTCCTGTTTTGGAACTGTGGTTAGTTTTTAGGTTTAATCCTATCACAAAATCCAACCAGCAGGTGCTTACTGTGGAGGAGGTTTCATACGGGATCTATTTTGTTTGTGGCCCCTGAAAGATGATGGCGATCAAATGTTGAGTGCAGGAGGCCCAAATAGTTCCAAGTGCTATAAGGAGGCAGTTCTATCTTTGGCAGCTCTGCCCTGACCTCTGCAGGTGAAGTAGAAGCCTCAACCCCAAGTTCCTGTAGGCCCCTGCGCCGTCACCTCATGGCCTGGCCTGCTATGTGTCAAAGAGACTCTTGCTCAGTATGACTCATGTCATACTGGAGAAGCTGTGGTCTTTTCTGGGACTCTCCGGTTTCCTCACCCCCTCTCACCTCCTTCATCCCAGCACCAGTATCAGGAATGAAGACGGTAAGATGGGGAAGCAAAATAGTTTAAATCTTAGATCCGTACTGTCCAGTACAATAGCCGCCGGGAGCTAATTTAATCGATTAAAAGAGTAAAATTAAAACTTCAGTCCCTCAGACACACTAGTCACATTTCATATGTTCAGGAGCCACATGTGACTAGTAGCTACGCATCGGTAGCTTAGAAATAGAGGACTTCTATCTTTGCAGAAAGTTCTATTGTATAGTATTGGGGACTAGTTCATACATGGGCTTCACAGAGACACTGGGCACTCTAAAATCATACATGAACAGTGTGTATGTACGTGCATTTGTAATATTTCTGGGGAGAACGTTTATTATAACCTTCAACAAGTTTACAAACTGTGCTTTGATCAGGATCACTTGGGGTAGAAAAGACCTGACTATAAAGGGTACATAGTAGCAGTGAATAGCGGATCTCCACTGGTCTTAGAAGTTAAAGGTATTTCAGAGCCAGTATTGAATCAGGAAAAAGCTAGTTAGAGGGTTCGCCGGTGAGTATTAGAGGAGAGTAGTGGAGATAACTGAAAAATTCAATCAAAAGCTAGTAAAATGTTTTTAGTCCTGGCTTCCTCTTTCTTTGTAATATGTTCCCCCCTCTGCACACCCAGATCTAATGCATCAAAAGACTTACCTCTGAGATGAGTTATACTCATTAACTAATGCATCTCCCTCTTTTTAATTAATCAGACATACAGAACCACAAGTCAGAAAGCTTCTAATATTATACAAAGTAGCCAGTGTCATCACACTGAATTGAGAGCATTGTAGCCTTAGCTAATATGATTTGAAACTCAGGGAAGAAATGATACTTTGGTACAAAAATTCATAATTATTAGGTATGGGGGGGGGGTCGTCTCCTGAGACTATTTCCCAGACCCACAGGCTTCGGCATATAATCATACTCATGGCTGTGATTTATTATAGTGCAAGGATGCAAAGTAAAATCAGTAAAGGCAAGAGGTACACGGGCCAGAGTCCAGAGAAAACCAGGCACAGGCTCTCAAGAGTCCTCTCCCAGTAGAGTCACATGAAACACCGTAATTTAACACATGTGAAGTTATCTACCAGAAAAGCATATTAGGGACTCCACACCCAGATTTTTTATTGGGGACTGGTCACATGGCCGTCTTCTGCCTAGCGCCTACTGAAATTCCAGACTTCCAGAAGGAATGCAGGTTTGCAACGTAAAGTCATGTTGTTTGTACAAAGCTTAGGCCCAGAGAGCCATTCTTACCAGGGAATGGTGGGAACCCTGAAATCCAAGTTCTCATGCAGGCCACCAGCCAGCCATGCAAACGGGCCTTCCTGTGGGTATCGGTCTCAGGCCTGTATCTCTTCTGCATGGTGGCTGGTCAGCGGCCTGCCACCACTCATACTTTCATAGCATGCCAGTTGTTTCTAGAGACGGCAGATAGTCGGCCACTCTTTTCTATTCCATTAACCATTTCAGACATCACTAATCTCCTACAGTGCTGTTTTTTGCTGAGATCAGACAGCCTCAGAATCCTTCTCTGAGCACTCCACAGAGTCATGGCCAATCTGGAGCTGAGGCCAGTGTCATTCCTAGTCTGTAACAACTCTTCTGCTATTTACACGTGCCCTGCAAGGAGAGCCATAGGATTGTGCCTGCTCATGGCTGTTCTCATTCTTAAAGGTAGCTACCCTGGGAAAACTTAATTAGGATGACGGTGACTCGAAGCCTTTTTGAAGGGCCTAGAAGTACAACAGAAAACCTTCTCAACCCTTTAGATTTTAAAACAGCAAGAGAGAGGGAGAGAGAGAGAGAGTCTAATACAGCATCAGTATAGAGAATGTGAATCATTAGGATCTTGTATCGTTTGCCAATAAGATGTAATCAGTGCAGCCTCTTTGGAAACTATTTGGCATAACATTAAGGCTGAACTTTCGGGTACCCACAACCCTCCAGTACCCCATCCCTGAGTATATAGCCGAGAGAAAATTTGAACACATGCATTAGACATACCTAGAAGATAGTTCAGAGTAGCAGTGCTGGTTATAGCAAAAGACTTTTGGCAGGAGACCAGAACAAACTCATTCTGGCAGAGTCATACAGCGGGATATTGCATGGCAGTGAAAACTAACTACAACTACAAATGGTCAAAAATGAAACCAAATAAAATATTTCAGCCCATATACGTTTGTAAATTACATGCGCTTTCTTTCAAGCAAATGAAATGATAGTAGTCACCTCTGGGGAATGACAGGAGACTGGTCACCTCTGAGGGGAGACAAGGATGTAGATAGAACAGGACAGAATATAGAGCTGGAAGAAACGTACCAGCAATGTTTTAGGTCTTGGGTTGTATGGTGCATTTATGCGAGCTCACCATATCCTGTTATAACTAGCAGGTAATCGTCTTTTGTATGTATCAAGTATGTTTTTCTAACTGTTTTCGATTCTTAAAATTTTCCTCACATTTGATGGAATGTGCCTGGTGTTTTCTGGCTGTGTTTGTCACAGGCTGACCTGGACATCACAGAAATAAACAAACTAACAGCAGAAGCTATTCAGACACCCTTGAAATCTGCCAAAAGTGAGTACTTTTCAAAACCCTTTGTTGAACTGAGAGAGTGTGGAGCCCAGGGTGGCTGGCTGCCTGCTCAGCGAGGCCTCAGGGGTGCGGCCTCTTCCCTCTAATGCCCGGCCCTTGGTCTTATAAATCCCATAGCGTGATTTTGGCCGCCGCCTTGAGTTAATTGGATACAGGACTGACAGGGAGAAAACCCCCAGCGATGTGGGAGTGACAGTGAGAGTGGAAGGAGAGGGAGAGCTGCGTGGGGACCATGGCCGCCTGCTGGCTTCCGCGGTTAAGGGGGTTGGCAGGACTGAGAGGCCTTATGGGACATGGTAAGGCCAGCCAAGGTGCTCCCATGTGACCAGAGGGTTGAGAGAATTGCAGAAGGACTGGTGTCCCGTTGCAGCATCCCACATTCCTGGATTCAGAGACCTGCTGTGTGAAATCCTCTCTCACACACGCCCCACACCTGGGGGCAGCAGGTTTGGGACAGTAGGTTGTAGTTAGTGACCATGGACTCAGGACACATTGGGCTCTATTGTGGATTTTATGTCGCTGTCGTTAAGCTTTCCTAGCTTAATGTATCCAAATCTTGTGAGGACAAGCCTGACCCATGACCTGGATCTTGGGGCTGCCCGCCAGCACCCTTTCCCCACTGGGTAGGGCCAGAAACACCATCCTGTACTTAGTCCATCTTGCTTTCCGTGAGAATGGCCTTTTGGCGCGTGGTGGAGGGCAGGAGATTTTCACTTTGCTGGTGTCACATTCCAGTGCTGCCTTGGTGAGATGGTGGCATAATTGGACTGGGGTGCTCCTAGAGTTCCTCAGCTGCACATGTACAGTTTGTGAGGTCACTCTGGGTTATCTCTGCACTTGGGGAATACCAGTTTCTCTTCTGAGATCCACCAGTTTTGCTTCTTACTTTGGGGGTGGGGTGCCACTCTTCTGATTTTACCCCTGGGAGCCAAACACACCAGAACCGATGTCATCCAACAGTAAAGATGGGGGGGGGGGCTCCCTTGACCATTGGACTTTGACTACATTGTGCTACTTCCAAAAACAAAAAAGAACTATATTATTTAATGTGTCAGAAAATAAAAAGCTGTCTAGTCTCCTCCACCCCTCATGATCAGATGCGTAAATTTTCTCTGTGGCATCCCTGCTCATGACTGTGTGGCTCGTGGTTGTACATATTAGCAGTGACACACTACTTTCATCACTAAGCAGGTGCGATGCTTAGAAAGTTTATTCTAATCTGTGTAAATAATCATATTTTATTGTAACAAACAATACTTCTGACATGTATCCGGTACTGTCCAAAAGGCTTTTCCATTGATTCGTTCCATAGACACTCAGTAAACGCTGACAGGCACAATTCTAGGGCTTGGGGACACAGGGACAGAAGTGACGAAGACCCTGTTCTTGTGGAGCACATCCCAGGTCTCATAATACCCCTGTGAGGGAGCTTCTCCCTTCTGTAGGTGAGGAAACTGAGGCACCACACCAGGAGTCCCATGGCCTGGTTAGTGCTAAGACCAGGCCTCAAGCCCAAGCCTGGCTGACTCCAGTGGCCGCACTCTTCCCAGAATGCTGGGCATCCCATGGGCTTTTTTAACCAGTCTGGTTAGTTTCCTCTGTCTGAACCTTTTTTTTTTTTTTTTTTTAAAGAAAGTCATCTTGCTTATATTCAAAATCTTTTTCTTGATTACAGCCTAAGATTGCGTAAGTTTCATTTTCTGTAAGAAACATGAATGCATGATGGGGCGCCTGGGTGGCTCAGTTGGTTAATTGTCCGACCTTAGCTCAGATCACGATCTCGCGGTTGTTGAGTTCAGGCCCCACATTGGGCTCTGTGCTGACAGCTCAGAGCCTGGAGCCTGCTGTAGATTCTGTCTCCCGCTTTCTGCCCCTCCCCCACTCACATCCACCTCTCTCTCTTTCTCTCAAAAATAAATGAAACATTTAAAAACATTTTTTTAAAAGAAAAATGAATACATGAGAGCCTATTCCTATGAGAAATATCACTGTGTTAAAACTGTTTCTTATAGCACGAAAGATCATAAAGGTGGATGAAATGATACTGGAAGAGGAAGAAGAAGAAAATAAGAATAAGAATCTTCACACTGCAAGAGTAAGTAGGACCTCGAGTTTGAGGCTGGGAGATGACAGGGCATGAATACGTAACATCCGGTTGCCCCACCCCCACCTGCCAGAGTTCACAGTTTCATAGAGAAGATCCCACTTAAATGGCTAAAGACAAAAGCAATCATAGATTGTGTGTAAAGTACATAAAAACGTAGAAGAGGAAGCTACTGAAGCTCTTATCTCCCTGGTTAGGATACACTAGGCCTTTAAAGGTGAGGGAGATTTCACTAGCTGGAAAAGAAAGGAAAGGGAAGCCCAGGAGAAGGTAGGAAAGTTCCATTTAAGGATAGGAAGCAGTTTGGGATGGCAAGGATGTAAGTTGTGAGGGTGATCTGCATAGAGTAGGGCCAGACAATGAATGGCCTTGTGTGCCAACCTCGGAAGTTTCCATTTCATCAGGTTGGTCACAGTGAGCGACGTGACCGGACTGGTATTCCAGAACAGTATTCAGAGTAAATGGGAGAGGGGAAGAACTGGAGACGAGGAAACCAGCTGGGAGGCTATTGTGATTCTTAAACTGAGGCACCGAGCCTATAAAAAGAGAAGGATGGGGGCGCCTGGGTGGCTTAGTCGGTTAAGCGTCCGACTTTCGCTTAGGTCATGATCTCGCGGTTCGTGGGTTCGAGCCCCGCGTCGGGCTCTGTGCTGACTGCCAGCTCGGAGCCTGGGGCCTATTTCAGAGTCTGTATCTCCCTCTCTCTCTGACCCTCCCCTGCTCACGCTGTGTCTCTCTCTCTCTCCTAGAAATAAATAAAAAAATATTAAAAAAAAAAAAAAAAGAGAAGGATGGTGTTGACCTACGTTTTAAAAGGGAAAATGAGCTCAGTGGAGGAAGGGCGGAAGCAGGGATGACCAAATGGTTTCTGTCATCGGTGGAAGGTGGGACATGGGCAGAAGAGCAGTAAAGGGGAGCGGACACTGTCCCACTTCCTGGACATGTCGGGTGCTCCATACTTGTCCGAGATTTCAGCCTGGAGCTCAGGGAGCAGTAGGAGGTGGAGAGAGACACTGTCCCCCACCGTGGGCGTCAGTGAGGTTGTGCAGGGAGGGCACGGAGAGGGGGCTGAGGATGGGCACTTGGAGAGACACTAGAAGGAGGAGCTTATGAGGCAGCCTGCACGGGGACAGCCAGAGAAGCAGGGAAGGTGGGGTGGAGACCGTTGTCGGAAGGTCCGGAGTGATCCTTGTCAGGTGCCCCTGAGGACTCTGGAGGGGTGAGGACTGACAAGGTTTCCTTAGATTTGGCACCTGGGACAGCCTGAGTGACCTTCACAGCAGCACTTAATGGGGGAGTGACAGGGGTGGGGTGGAAAGGGGGCAAGCCCGGCTGCAGTCAGTTCAAAAGAGATTTCCCTTTAATCTTGGTCAAAACCCTCTGCTTTGAAGACCCAAGCAGTGTTAAGTCTGTAGTTGGTCAGTTTTGTTCTGTATTACTTAACGCAGCTTAATTCTGAGAGATCGACCTTATATTCGGTGTTAGTTTCCTTTTCCATAGCTGGTTCCCCCTCCCCTACTTTTCTTACCCTCCCTTACCTTTCCCCCTCTGGGGGCTTTTCATAATCACGGTTTCATTTGATTGTGAATCCAGGTCAAAAGGTGTCCTCCATCCAGGAAGAGAACCCAGTCCATACAAGGAAAAGGCAGAAGTAAAAGGTAATGGGTTTCCCAGACTTCATTGTGTGTTTTGGTTTTACTGGGGAGACCCACTCAGCATGGCAGAAATAGGGGGCGGAAGGGCTTTTGTGGCTTGTGCTCTAGTGGAACCTCAGTCTCCCAGCTGGGGGTTGCCTCTAGAAATGAACCCACCCAGCACATTCTCCAGTTCGTCCACATTCTCTGTCCTCCTCCACTTTTTTTGGCTTGTTTTCATGCCTCTTGGGAGGCAGAGCGAGGGCCAGAAACCCGTAAGAGGTGCTGCATATCTTGTTCACTTGCCTGAAACCCACAGGCAGAGCGACCCCAGGGCCCGGCACAAAGTGGCTGTCATCTACCTATAGTTGTTTCTTGAAAGGTTCCTCCTGGTTCTAGTAAGAGTCGCCATGAGCTTGCACTGATGATTCTGGGCCCTGCCAAGTCGCTTGGGAGTGGGGTTTGGGGGCCGCATCTCAAGAAGCTTAGAAAGTAGTGGCCGGGTGTGTACGTGAGAAGCAGCGGACGCCCCACCCCAGTCTCTGAGCAGCAGCTGCGTAGCTCGAAGACAGGAGCCCCAGCTGCGGGGCCTGCAGGGTGTTGAGAGGGTGCCTCCTTCTTCGTTTTCTGTGAGCCTGGCCAAGAAGTCAGGTTCTGGAGGCTAGCCCGGCTTCAGAACACTAGCCCCACGCTAGCTGGCTGTGTGGCCCCGGGCAAGCTGTGGGAGCCGGTGTGCTGGAGGCCCTGCATCCGTAAGTGGGGGTAGCAGCCGGTTTCCCAGGTTGTCGGGACAGCTGTGTGAATTAGCACGTGTGAAGCGGCCAGGACAGGGCCCGAAGTGATCGGTGCCTTCCGCGCGTGACCTGCCTCGCTGCTGCTGTCACTGAGCCCCTCACGGCCATTTCTTACCTGTAGGTCAAGCCACTGTAACACTGTCACCCCAGCCGTGGGCCGGCTGGAGCTGTCTATGGTGAAACCAACTCCAGGCTTGACGCCCAGGTTTGACTCGAGGTGAGTGGTGGGAGCAGCGTCTGCGTCTGATCGGGAGCCCACTTACCATCAGTCAGTGAAGCCAGGTGTGCGAGAACACACTCAACAGCTTGGCCTGGCAGAGCACTCTTAGAGGGGGCACCGCCTGGGCCTCCAGGTGCTTGCCTCTCCCCTGAGTGCAAGCTCACCTGATTTCAGCGACAGAATGAGTCCATTTGATGAGAGGGAGAACATTCTGCCTCTGATGACCAGGAGGCCCCTAGTGATTCTTGGTCTTTTCTGATTCTGACCAACAACGGTATTTTTTAAAAACGGGTAGGTACTCTCCTCTACCCTTGGTAAGAGTGAAAAGGGACAGCACGGTACATCAGGAGGCCAGCGTAACCCAGGCTGTGAGCCAGTCTCCTCCAGCAGGCTGGTCAGCTGGGGAGGAAATGCCATCTCACCATTAAAGTGGATCTGCACGTGCCGAAGGAAGAGCTTCTTGACCACGGGCACCCCCCCATGCATTGCAGAGCAGTGCGTCCTAGACGACCCCACGTGTTTTTGTAGACATAGAACGCTTCTGGAAGGCATAAGGAATGGAGAGTAGGGATCTCTGGAGTGAGAACATGGAAGACTTGTACTTTTTTTAAAAAAAAATTTTTTTAACGTTTTATTTATTTCTGAGAGAGAGAGAGACAGTGTGAGCAGGGGAAGGTCAGAGAGAGAGAGGGAGATACAGAATCCGAAGCAGGTTCCAGGCTGAGCCCAACGCGGGGCTCGAACCCACGAACCGTGAGCTCATGACCTGAGCCGAAGTTGGACGCTTAACCACCCAGGCGCCCTGGAAGACGTCTGCTTTTAATCCCCACTCTTGAACTGGTTTTCACATGAGTGCATATAGCAGAGGACATTTAGAGAAAAACCGGTAGCAGATTTTTAACTGTCTTGAGAAAGTTTGGGCATTAATATGATGGTATATATAACCTCTGGATCCTCCTTTTTTGACCCTGGAAAGCTCCTCTTGTGGAAGCACTTAGGCACTCTTGGAAATGCATTAACTGCGGTTTATTTCTGGCTTTGTGGATGGATGGATGACTGGCATCCAGACAGAGCTTTGGACCTGAGATTTCCATGGATAAGAGCTGACTTTGGCTCGATGTATGTTTGATAATTACAACCTCCCTTCTCCAGCTGTGTGTAGTCATTACTGTTTAAAAAGACTTCTTTTCCCCTAAATTTAGAACTCGCCTTCTTAGAAATGTGGGATTTGAAAACTACAGCTTGAGGCCAGATGGGGGTTGGAAGGGCTCACAGCACCTCATGTCACTCAATCTGCCAAGCCATCTTGACGGCATTCTTCCCGCTTTGCAGGGTCTTCAAGACCCCAGGCCTGCGCACTCCAGCAGCCAGAGAGCGGATTTACAACATCTCCGTGAATGGCAGCCCTCTCGCCGACAGCAAAGAGGTTTTCCTCACAGTGCCGGTGGGCGGTGGAGAGGTGAGTGTCTCCGAGGGAGGCCCAGCCGCCACGCTGCTCTCCCCGCATTTCCATCCTGGGCCCATCACCCTCTTCCCACCCCCACAGTCCGTGGGGAAGCGTGGATCCCGACCTCCGCGTTTCTGCAGGACTCAGAACCCAGGGTGCTCGCCCAGGTTAGAGGCCCAGGCTGGGATCCTTGCCCGGCCCCATGTTCCATTCGTTCATCTGCTCACATTTGCCCACCTGCCTTGTGGCACGCCCAGGGTGTAGAGAACATGCTTCCTGCTCTTGAGAAGCCATTCAGTAGTCAAGATAGGTTCACCATCCGCCCTAGGATTATGCGATGTGTGCAACCCGGGAGGGAATAAAGGGAACGCAGACAGAGGTACTGTCGGGGTATGTGCCTAATCTAGAAAGGGGAGCAGGAGCTGTGTCTTCCCCTCTGTAGAACTTCAAGGGCTTCTGAAGCAGGCTGAGCCCGGTTTCTCTGGGCTGAGTGGAGCAAGTTGCTGACCTCGACCCCTGGGAGAGAAGGAAGGTGTATCTCCAAAGCGTCTGTAAGGCACTTCTAAGCCGAAGTGCATGCCCTTGTTCCCCGGGTGACCCAGCCAAGGTCCAGTGAGAAGCACTGGTGTCATTGTCTCCTCAGGCCAAACGCCCCTCCTAACTACCTTGGCAGCCCCCACCCCCACCAAGTGCAGAATATCAGGGGGACCCCGCGGGCACACTGGGACACTGGGTGGAGGGCCCTGCCCTCGGGGACATGGAGACTGAACCCCTTCTGCCCTCCACACAGAGCATGCGATTACTGGCCAGTGACTTGCAGAGGATGGACATCGCGCAGCTGGACCCGGAGGCCTTGGGCAACATTAAGAAGCTCTCTGTGAGTCTCATAGCCTCTCGCACACACCGTGCCTCCAGCAGCTTTCTTGGTCTGGCTCCACTTAGGACTGTCTCCGGGGCCAGGCTTCATTGTAGCCGTGTGTTGTTCTCCTTCCCCCAGGGGATTGTGACCATGATCCTACTTCCCTAGCCGCAGTTCTTGTCCCTAAATTGATGTCGACCTTCAGTCCATCCCAGAGCACCTGCCACAAAAGTTCCACGACAGAATCAAAACTCTGCCTCATTCAGGCAGTTGGTGTCAGTATTTGAGGGCACGATTGACTGCCGGGAACGGAAACTTCCTGGAGGGAGTGAGGGCGGGGCTCGTTCTGAGGAGCCCCAGGGAATCAAGGGAAACGCTGAACAGCCAGGCCCCAGGAGGTGGGACCCTCCTTGTTGGGGGTATGGAGGTGTGCCCCCTCCTGTAGCATCTCTGTCTTTGGGACCCACGCACGCATTTTTTTGGCATTTCCTCATCCCTCCCTCGGCAGACCTCTTCTCCACAGGCCTCTCCGTCCCGGGCCCCATCCCCCTTCAGCACTGGCCTGTGTGTGGCTTCGGGCGGCCGTGCTCCCAGCTCTGCCGTCACTACTCATACCCGGCGCTGACTGTCCGGCTTCCGGTCCCCGCTTACGTTCTCGGGAGGGCAGTTAACAGTGGCTCTGCTTTAGTCAGATGGGCCTCCGTGGTCCAGTCAGCATGGTCTCCGGTGGGGGGTGGGAGCACTGGCTGCAAACATGGCTGCCCGAGGCACGCCCCCCTCCTGGGGCGTCTGGGAAGGTTACCTCCAGGGAGGGGGCAGGGGCAGAGCGGCGTTCCCAGCCCCGTCCTGTGGATGTGGGCCCAGTGCCGGGCTCCCACACGTACCCAGCCACCCACATCTAGTGACCTCCAGCCCCGAGCCGCGCCTGCAGCGCTACTGTCTCATCTGAGGTCTTGTTTTACTGCCTTGTTCGGATGAGAAATGGAGGTCCAGGACAGCTCATTCCCTCGTTTGTGGCATAAGGAGAGAAGGGAGGGCCGAGAGGCACTCGGACCTGAGGACCCCAAGTCCAGTGTCCCCCCAAGGAAACTCTGAAGTGGCCAACGGGCAAGCATGGCCAGTGCTGTGTTCTCTCAACGACCTGCCTCCTTTCCTTCACAGAGCCGCCTCGCCCAGATCTGCAGCAGCATACGGACTCACAAATGAGGCTCGGGCTGCTGTCTCAAGAAGCCAGACTTGACAGGATGGACCTTTGATGGGCACTTCCAGGACCCTGGAGACTTCTTCCCTGAATTCAGGCTTATTGTGTGTTCGGGTGTGAAGTTCCAGAGCAGGGAGTGGTGTTCCTCTGGGAGAATCTGGGAAGCGGGGAGACATGCTGCCCCCACATCGCTTAGATAGAGCTCTGCCGTTCACACCTCCCAACCCAACTGCCTGCTGCATCCGTGCCGTCGCGGCTTCCTGTCATTCTCCTGGCAGAATTCTCCTTCCTGCTCTGAGCTGCCACCTTCTGCCTCCTGTAACCCGGCACCCTCTCTGCCCCGCCCCCACTCCGGTGGAGGTGGCATGAAAGAGGCTCATGTTCCGGGAAGACCGCCTGCCCCTCCTCGTTGGAGAGCCCTCCGCTTGTGGCTGGGAACTTTAAGCTCAGAGAAGCGTGAGCTCTGGGCCGCGGGAGGACAGATCCGGAAAGCTGGGAGGATCCGTACAAATGGGGACAGGACAGCAGGACGGGCCGTGTCCCCACAGCAGAGCACCTCTCACCCCGGCCCCACCCCAGCCCTCTCTGGTGGGTGCTCTGTGGGGCTTCGGCATCTTGTGCTCGCTGTGGCCCGCATGCTTCTCCAAGCTGGCTTGTGGAACGCTGTTTCGTATTTACCCCTTTATTGAAGACCAAAAACTGGTTTGGCGGCGGCTTCCGTGTCTGGCTCCTCTACCTCTCTAGTCGGTAGGAATTTGGATAGGACAGTTCTAGGGCTTCGCTTAGTCTAGGGTTTTCATGGGACCGGCTACAGATGAGCCGTCTCAGCTCTCTCTAGTTCACGGACCTTGCAGGGACCGCTTCCTCCTATAGGGTTCACTGAGGGGGGCAGATGAACCCTGCCCGGGGGCCTTGCTCCTCACGTTCAGCCTGTGCTCCGGGCATTGGCTAGTTATTCAGAGTCAGCACCTGCCCCCCCGAAGAATCATGAGATGTGGTCCAAACCACGGGGACTGAGAATTCCCTCCCCAGGCCCAAGGGCACTGGGATCTCATGTGTGACTCTGCCTTCTACCTGGTGTTACTTTGCTATGTGACCCTCCTAGTGATCCAGTCCCGTCGCAGCTCTGTTCCTTTTAGGTTGTTTTCTTCTCCTTTTCCTGAGATTTGTGTGCAGATTGTATTCCTGAGTCATGGCGTCTCTCAGCTGTTCTAATTCGAGCTACTGAAAGGTACCTGTTTTCAATAAATTGTGGGTTTGTTTTTAACCAGTATTCAGGCTGTGTGTCATCTCCAAGCTGTGCTGCCTGGACTAGCAACTGTTTGGGAGCTGAAGCAATCGAGTGGGGGGTCCTCCAACAGCTGCTTTCCCCAGAAGGTACGGAAACCCGTACTTCTGGCAGAATCTGACGTCTGAAGAAGGGGCCCTCACCCCAGCATCCGGGGCATATAACGCCTCCAAGTAGGTTTCCCCCAACACCTTTGTTCCATGAGCAGGAAGTTGACATCTGGGAAGACAAAATCTAGGGTGTCAGAGCTCGTTGGCCAGGAACAAAGCAGGGATGCAGATAATGCAGCGACCATGCTTCTCAGTTCCCATAATTCCAAGGCTCTAGCAGACCCTGCCTTCCTAAAATTCTTTCTACGCTGAAGATGACCAACATGGAACTAGTGGCAGAAGAGAAAAATGGGTCATTAGCCCAGTCAGGTAGCACGGACAGTGACGGGGAAGGAGCCTGTGGTCATTGACAGCATTTGGAATAAAGGCTACTCGTTTCAGGTAGTGAAGTCACCAAACCTGAGATTTCTACCCTTTCCTGCCTCTGGTGTGGTGGTAAGAGGAGCCTGACATCAGGGAAACACTTTGGACCTGACACGTTCCACCCAGAGCCACTCTCGCCCTGTTTTATTCCATTTGCACTGCTGCCTCAATGAACCCAGCAGCAGGAAATGTGTAGTATGCAGCAGGGGCCTAATAGATGCCAGTCGTATGCTAAAGATGGAGCAGTCCTTCATTCCACAGAAGGGCGCACTTGGAGGGTCATGAGTTCCCTCATCCCGGGATTTAAACCATGGGTTGAAGTATCACAGGGCCAGGATGTTGCTAAGGAAATTGAAATTAAAAAAAGGTTTTTTTAAATCCCACTGCCAGCCCGCAAACCAAACAGGGTTCACAGACACAGTTCCATTGGATTTTGTTTTTTCGAGTTGGTTACAAACTAACTAATTTGAAAATGGGGAGATTTCACAAGAATGATCGCTAGCCTCCAAGACCTAAGATCTGGCAACAGCCCGCGCGAGCTGAGAGCAGCTGCCCTCTTCGCGTTCAAAGCCCTCCCGGCCAGCTCCCTGCCTTTGATGGAGACCTCGCCCCAGGAGGCAGTTTACTCTGTACCCTCTGCCCTGGGTATCAAGCAAATACAGGCGGAGCTGCTCTGTGCTGAAGCAAGGGGGGCCCTGGGTCCCCCCCCGCCCCGGCACCTGAGGCGCTGCCAAGAGCCCTAGAAACCCAGCAGACACTACGTATGCTCTTTGCCCTGCAGGCCTCCTGATCTTTCCAGAAGCCCTATGTTGGGGGCTTCCTGTCGAAAGAATTCCAAACTTCCCACCTCACATGAAGAGCTAGTTCTCAGGGTGTGGGACGTCACCGAAGCAACTGGTATTCGTGGTGTCAGACACTCTTTAGCTCAAAGGAACTACTGAGTTTGCATGCAAACCGAGACGAAAGGTAGGTCTCAGCACCCTCGCGTGCCCACGCTCCCTGAATGCTTTCCTTTCTGACTTTACACATCGGCGGTTACTGACCCACACACACCTCGCGTTCAGGATGACACACGTGCTGAGGAGTTTCGTAGATTGTTCTGCGTGCAAGGGAGGCGCTAGGAGAGGCTTCCTCAGAACTGGGGCCCACATCGGCCTCTCCACTTAATGGGCGTCTGGAATCCACTTTGGCAAAAAGGGGCCTCCTCCCTTGACAGGATGAGGCATTCCCCCAGCCGTCTCTCTCTGGCCCCACGTGCATCCTCACCTACTGAACAGGCCCCTTAGTCTCCCTCCCCCGTCCCCTCCCTGTGAGCTGTCATCTGCCCCGCCTGCCTCTCCACTTGGCCATCATACAGCATTTTCTGATCATGAGATGATGCACACGGTGGAGGACGTAACATCCCCTTGGTACCGGGACACCAGGAAGACCCCAGGTCCCCATCTGCACATCTTCAGTGCTCAACAATCACACACAGCGTGCGACAACCTGCCATCAGGGTGGAAACAGGACGCACCAAGGATACACCCCTTCAGCTCAAAGGTCATGTGTCAACCATCTTCACCTTGCCCCGGCTGACTGTCGGGGATGAGTGTGGCGGAGAAGGGGGCCGATGGGGCAAGACGCAGTCTACCTGGGAAGGGGTGTAATGTAAGGTGTCCGCAGCAGAGGAGCAAAGTTTGTTTTGGGTTTCTGGTTTTTCTCTTCGACTTCCACCAACAGTCTCTGTCAAAACGTATTCCTTGGAGCGATGCTCAAGTACCGTCCTCTGCCCACAGGACGTGGGTCGGCATCGAGGTTATCCGTGAACTGAAATTTTCTGGCTCTTCTCTGCTACCCAAGGCCCCAGGGGGCCCAGCTACTAATATGGGCCCGGGAGGCACCCTGGGGAGACTAGCAAGGTTTTTTCTAGATACTGGCAGACGCTGGAGGCTAGATGGTGAGGGTACCAAGAGGTTTGAAGAGAGGGCGTCATATGGGGAGTTGCACATGTGTCCTGAGCAGTGGGAAGGGGGCGACAGGAGTTACTGAGTCCCGAGCCCCGTCGTCGGGGTTAAGACGGACAGTGAATGCACTCCCTGGTTTCCCCTGGGCCCTCCTGCGCCTCCCCAGGCACTAGGTCAGGTGGAAGGTCACTAGACTCCCACAACACCTAGGATTTATCCCTGATGCTGTGTCTTTCGTGTGTTTTACTTAACCAACCACCCCCTCCACCCCCGCCCCATTAGGCAGTGAGGTCTTCACTTCCTCGTATCGGCTACATAGTAGGCACTGGGTTCACCGGATGACCAAACACAATGTCAAACCACATCGGCAGCCTTGAGGCCCAGAGACGTCCATTTCAATCCCCAACCGTATATACTGTACGTCTCCCCGTTGCCTCACACCTTGCTGATAACATTTAGCGAGTACTTGCCGCGCGCCAGGCACTGTCCCAAGTGTTGGTGGGGGTCCCCCCTTCCTTGGCTCCACACCCCTCACTGAGGCAGACCTCAGGCAGAGCAGTGCTCCCGACGTCCCGACCTACCCACGAACCCCTCTCCCTGGGGAAGAAGTGACTTACCCAGTGGAATCACCTGCTCGAATCGGTGCCAGCTGGCGTGTCCCGCAGGTCTGCCTGCTCACGAGGGGGCACATCCCACCGGAAGTTGGGTCGGGCAAAGCTGCCCAGCAGAGGAGGCTTGTGGCCGCCTGGCTCAGCCTGGGACTAGGAGGGTCGAATTCAGGGAAAGGCCCTTGGTCCCGATACGCCACCGCCCATTTATCGAAGACGTACATTTTACACATTTTAACATCTCTGAAATTGGGATGCGTCTTCCAAGCAGATGGCATGATGCAGTGGAATTGGCTGTGATGTTTCTTAGTGGTACATCTTACACTCAATGGCATCTTTGAGTTGAAGGAACATGAGAAGCAACATTCCCCAGTGGGCCTTATCGAGGAGCTGGTTCCTTGCTGTCCATCTGTCCTAGTGACTAGTGCTCAACTCGTTCTGAGCGCAGGAAGGGAGGAAAGGGGTGTCATGTACCGCCATCCCCACCTCCCCATCCCCAGCCCTCAACACTTCCCATGGCCAGACTAAGCGAATAAGTGAGACACCTTCTCCGCACTGTGAACATGGACAGCCCGGCCCAGGGAGTGCAGAAGCACTAGCAAATTGGAAAGGGCAAGGGCTCACTTGGCACATGTGCGTGTGCGCGCACTCACTAGCACTCCAGCACTCAGCCCCCATCCCCACTCCCTGCTGATCACTGTCTTATCCCCACCCTCCTCCCTCTGCAGCACGCCCCAAGAGACTCCCCAAACCCCACTCCTCCATCCTCTCACCTGGCTTCTGCCCCTCCACAATTAAGGGTTGAATGATGTCCCCTCAAAATTGACATGTGGAAGTCCTAACCCCCAGTACCTGAGAAAGTGACCAGGGCCTGGTCCAGAGGTCATCAACTTAAAATGGGGTCATTACAGTGGGCCAGCCCAGTACTTCTGAAAGGGGGAAATCTGGACGTGGAAGGTGACGTGATGACACAGGAAGAAGCCGGCCGTCTACCAGATCCTTCCCCAAGTCCTAGGAAGAGCCAAGTCTTGACCTCGGACATCTAGCCCCCAGTACTGCAGGCGGGGAGCTCTGTCCTGGAAGCCCCCTCTTGTGGCAGATTATGCAGCCCTGGGAACAAGCACACTTGTGGGTAACATCCCCCCACCCCAGCTGCTCCCCCACCTCATGAGGCTTCTCCGTATTTCACATCCACATTCACTGCTGCTTCCCCTCGATGACTGACTCCTTCCTGGCTTCTCCGCATTGCTCCCCTCAGGCTCTGTCTCCTGCTCCTCCTCACCAGGTTGTCTCCCGGTGTCAGACTTGCCCCAGCGCTCCCTCTCCTCCATGTCAGTCATGGAGGCTTCAACTTCACCCCACCCCCAGGAGCCACGGCCCTCAAAGCTCCGTCTCTAGCCCACGTCCGTGCCAATTTTCCAGACCCAGCATCCACGATCTCCAGGGTGTCTCTGCCCGCACCTCCCACAAGAGCTCAAACACATCCAAAACCTAGTGTCGCTTCCCGCCCCCCCCCCCCACTTACCCAACCCACTCCCCTCGCCATGATGGTCTCACAAGATGGCACCATCACCTGAGTGTTGCCTCCTGGGGGGAAGCCTTCCTTGGTTTACTTCTGAGACCAGGCCACCCTCCCTAGCCCGGGAGGCCTTCCATGACAGGGGCCATTCATCTCTTCACGACCTCAGACACACACTAGACACCCCACGGGGAGTTGGGGGAGCCTGGAAACCCTCCCCATATGAGCTCTTGACAGTGAAGCAATTGTCACTGAAAGAGGTACCATATCACAGACAAGTTTTTATTATTTTGTCCTGCATCTAGAACCCAGGAAATATAAAAACATCTCCAGGATGAGCCACAGGAACCACAGGAACCACACCCCCAGCCAGTCCCTTCCCTCCCTGGATGAGCTCAGATGGGGAAGCCCGAGGGCTGCAGCCACCGCCCTCTGCCCA